ATACAGACTTTATCAAAGAATTTGCTGATTTTCTATCCGAGTTAGTGCTGGCTGCAGATGAAGTCTTAATTATTGGTGATTTTAATATCCATGTTGATAATGAACTCCATTGGGGTTAGACAACACGTGTCAGGGCCTACTCAATGTCGTAATTGTACTTTAGATTTAATACTGTCACATGGAATTGATGTTAATGGTGTTGACATTCTGCAGCACAGTGATGACATCTTGGATCATTATCTAGTCTCGTGTAAACTCCAAATAGCTAAAGCTGCAAATTCAACTCCTTGTTACAAATATGGTAGAAGCATCACTTCTACCACAAAAGACTGCTTTGTAAATAATCTTCCTGAATTGTCTCAATTCCTCAGCATATCCAATAGCTCAGAAACACTTGATGGTGTAACAGAAACTATTGTGTCTCTCTTTTCTAGCACTTTAGATACGGTTGCTCCTTTATGCTTAAAGAAAATTAAGGAAAACAGTCCGACACCGTGGTATAACAAGCACACTCGCACCTTAAAGAGAGCAGCCCGGAAAATTGAGGTCTGCTGGAAGAAAACAAAACTAGAGGTATTTCGTATTGCATGGCGGGAAAGTACTTATACTTATAGAAAAGCTCTAAAAACTGCTAGATCTACTTACTTTTCATCTCTCTTAGAAAAGAACAAACACAACCCCAGGCATTTATTCAATACAGTGGCTAAATTAACGAAAAATAAAGCATCAATAGACACAGACCTTTCACAACAGCACAGCAGTAATGACTTTATGAACTTCTTTTAAAGAGAGCAGCCTGGAAAATGGAGCGCAGCTGGAAGAAAACAAAACTAGAGGTGTTTCGTATTGCATGGTGGGAAAGTTCTTCTACTTATAGAAAAGCTCTAAAAACTGCTAGATCTGCTTATTTTTCATCTCTCTTAGAAGAAAACAAACACAACCCCAGACATTTATTCAATACAGTGGCTAAATTAACGAAAAATAAAGCATCAATAGACACAGACCTTTCACAACAGCACAGCAGTAATGACTTTATGAACTTCTTTACTTCCAAGATCGATACTATTAGAGATAAAATCATAACCATGCAGCCGTCAGCTACAGTATCACATCAGATAGTGAACTATAGATCCCCTGAGGAACAATTCCACTCATTCTCTGCTATAGGACAGGAAGAATTGTATAAACTTGTCAAATCATCAAAACCCACAACATGTATGTTAGAACCTATTCCATTTAAGCTACTAAAGGAAGTGCTTCCAGAAGTCATAGATCCTCTTTTGAATATTATTAATTCATCAATGTCTTTAGGATATGTCC